ACATTGAAATTGGTGGTGTAGTGGACAGCAAAGAAGGTTACCTCAGAGTACAACGGCACCTTGATCAGATGAGTCAACGGGCCGAGGAGTGGCAGATGGAGTTTAATTTAGATAAATGTGAGGTGCTGCATTTTGGTAAGGTATATCAGGGCAGGGCTTATACACTTAATAGTAAGGTCCTGGGGAGTATTGCTGAACAAAGAGACCTTGGAGTGCAGGTTTATAGTTCCTTGAAAGTGAAGTCACAGGCAGGTAGACAGGATAGTGAAGAAGGCATTTGGTACGCTTATCTTTATTGGTCAATGCATTGAGTATAGGAGTTGGGAGGGTCAAGTTGAGGCTGTACAAGACATTGGTTAGGCCACTTTTAGAATACTACTTGCAATTCTGGTCTCCCTGTTGTAGGAAGGATGTTGTGAAACTTGAAAGGGTTCAGAAGATTTACAAGGATGTTGGCGGGTTTGAGCTATAGAGGGAGTCTGAATAGGCTGAGGCTATTTTCCCTGGAGCATCAGAGGCTGAGGGGTTACCTTATAGAGGTTTATAAAGTCATGAGCGGCATGGATAGGAGTCCAAAACTAGAGAACATTGGTTTAAGGTATGAGGGGAAGGATTTTCACACAGAATTTGGTGCATGTATGGAACGAGCTACCAGAGGAAGTGGTGGAGGCTGGTACAATTACAACATTTAAAAGGCATCTGGATGGGTACAGGAATAGGAAGGGTTTAAGAGGGATACAGGCCAAATGGGATTAGATTAATTTAGGATATCTGGTCAGCATAGACGTGTTTTGGATGGAAGGGTCTGCGTCTGTGCTGAATATCTCTGACTCTATGTGATACAGAGAAGGCATGATAAACCAAACTGTTTACATATGACAGTCACGTTAAGTTTGACTTCGTTTTGGCCTCAATCCCCAGTCTTAAGAATCGAATAACCTCTTCCTTGTTGCTTCATACACATGAGCTTAGACATTCTCAGCTTCACGTAACCCCTTCAGGCATTTCTAGCCATAACCATTAAGCTTTAAGAGTCTTACAGCATGGAAACAGAATCTTTGGCCCAACTTGTCCATGCTGAACCAGGTTTCCTAAACTGAACTGGTCCTGTTTGCCTGTATTTGGCACATATCCCTTTAAACATTTCCTATCCAGCCACCAGCAGTCTTTGAAATGTTGTATTTGTACCAGCCTCTACCACTTCCTCTGGCAGCTTATCCCACACACACCACCCTCTGTGTGAAAAAGTTGTCACTCATCTCCCCTTAAATCTTTCCACTCTCGCCTTAAACCTTTGCCCTTCTAGTTTTGGACTCCTCTACCCATGGGATATTCACCCTATCCATGCCACTCATAATTTTATAAACCTCTGTAAGGTCACCCCTCAGCCTCAGACATTCCAGTCAAAAAGAAGCCTTCGAATGCTGCCTCAGCAGATGGTGGAATTTGAAACTACTTAAAATCTGGAATTAAGAGTCTAATGATGACTAGGAAACCATTGTGAATTGTCAGGAAGAACCCATCTGGCCTTAAATATATTCGACGATCCATCCTCCGTTGCTCTCTGTGCAGGATTACTCAACAGACTAACTACCCTCTGACAGAATAAATTCCTGATCTCTGTCTGAAATGGGAGACCACGCATTTGTAAGCGGTGTCTTCTATTTCCAGATTCCCCCAAGAGAAGAAACATCTATCCTGTCAAGCTTCTCATTCTTCAAAACTCTAGCAGGGATAAACTGATCGAATAAATGTCAAATACAGTCACACAGCACAGAAACAGTCCCTTCGGACCAACTTGTCCATACTCACCAGGTACCCTAAACTGAACTAGTCCCATCTGCCTGGGTTAGGCCCATATCCCTCTAAACCCTTCCTATTTATGTACTTTCCAAATGCCTTTTCAGTGTTGGAATTGCATCTGCCTCTACCACAGCCTCTGGCAGCTTGATCATTACACACACCACCCTCTGTTTGAAGAGGTTGCCACTCAGTTCCCTTTTACATCATTCCCCTCCCACCTCAAACCTATGCCCTCTAGTTTTGGACTCACCTATCCCGAGGGAAAAGAAAAGCTTGGGGACCGCTTTGCAGAACATCTACCCTCGGTTCGCACTAAACAACTGCATCTCCCAATCGCGAACCATTTCAACTCCCCCCTCCCATTCCTCAGACGACATGTCCATCCTGGGCCTCATGCAGTGCCACAACGGTGCCACGACGATGCCACCCGAAGGTTGCAAGAACAGCAACTCATATTCTGCTTGGGAACCCTGCAGCCCAATGGTATCAATGTGGACTTCACAAGCTTCAAAATCTCCCCTCCCCCTACCGCATCCCAAAACCAGCCCAGCTCGTCCCCGCCTCCCTAACCTGTCCTTCCTCCCACCTATCCCCTCCTCCCACCTCAAGCCCCACCCCCATCTCCTACCTACTAGCCTCATCCCGTCCCCTTGACCTGTCCGTCCTCCCTGGACTGATCTATCCCCTCCCTACCTCCCCACCTACACTCACCTTTACTGGCTCCATCCCCGCCTCTTTGACTTGTCTGTCTCCTCTCCACCTATCCTCTCTTCTATCCGCCTCCCACTCTCTCCCTATTTATTTCAGAACCCCCTTCCCCTCCCCCATTTCTGAAGAAGGGTCTAGGCCGGAAATGTCAGCCTTTCTGCTCCTCTGATGCTGCTTGGCCTGCTGTGTTCATCCAGCTCTACACCTTGTTATCTCAGATTCTCCAGCATCTGCAGTTCCTAACATCTCCGAAAAGAAAAGACCTTGGCTAGTCAGTTTATCTGTGCCCCTCGGGATTTTATAAACCTCTACCACCATCCTCTCTCCCCTAGTGTAATGCCAATTTCACAATCAGGAGGCTTGCTCTCCCTGGATCCCATGTGATCTAACCTAGCATCAATGTATGGACTGAAGGAGCAAGCGATGCCAATATCTTTGAGAGAGGCCTAGAGCAACCTTTCCAGAGTCTGTTCCCCACTCCCTGGATTCACTCCCTTTCCCTCCAGTTCCTGCAAATTAACAGT